CTGTCCCCAACAAGAGACAGTAAGTAGCATATGGTGATAAGTTACTAAGGCCAAATAAGCCTTGACTTCTATGAGCAGTAAATCAGGAGGTCCTGATGTGGTGCTATAGACTAAGCACTGGACCACAAGGTTGCTTGAACCACAAGATTAGCAGTTCAAACTCACCAGCCGTTCCTTGGAAACCCTATGTAGAGTAGCTGTGAATCAAAGCAGACTCATTAGCACTTAACAACAACAGTCTTTAGTGGAAAGGAGCCCTAGTGGCACTGTAGGATAAGCAGTGGATTACTAACTACAAGGTCAACAGTTCAAACCCACCAATGAGTCCACAGGAGAAAGGTGATGCTGTCTGATCCCATAAAGGTTCACAGTCTCAGAAGTCCTGTAAAGGGTTGCTATGAGTCACAGTTGACTCCGTGGCAGTAGAATACATCTTTACGGAAGCAGATTGCCACATCTTTTTTCCACAGAGTAGCTGGTGGGTTTGAACCATTCACCTTTCAATTTGCAGCCGAGCACTTAACCACTGAGCTCCTCGGGCTCCTTTTTATAAGTAGAAGTGCCTCTTATTTCTAGAACGTACTTCCCTAGATATAGGTGTGCTTCATGTGGCTTTGTCGTTTAACTCGGGTCTTTAATTTTATGCTAGAACTGAGTGTGTTTTTGTTATCCAAATCATTGGAACCTTTGTTTTTTGTTGTTATTGTTTTGTTTTGGTTTGGTTTTTTTTTTTGCTAGCTTGGTGGTGTGAGGGAACCGCGGTTTAAATAAGAGTCCAGGAAGTGCTTCTGGGAGTGATTTTTGTATTGCCAAAAATGCTGATATATTGGCATTGAATTAACATTTCAAAAAATGCCACTAACTGAAAACAAAGATACATGTGTAGTCGCCCCAGCTGTTCTCCTTAAACCAGTTTCTTCCTCTTCTGTGCATAGTGAGAGATTTTAAGTCCCAGTTGTAAGATGAAAAGGAGTCAGTTTTATGTACTGTACTGTATTGCAGCTGGTTACTCACAAATGTTCTTGTACCATTGGGTTTGAGTTAAAGGGCATTTGTGCAGAATAGTCCCTTGTACCATGGATATTAGTCGGCTGAACAAATAAAATATCTTTGAGGGTTGTGTTGTCAGCGGCCAATGTTGTAAGAGGAAGAATTTCATTTGTTCATTCAATATTTAGTGAGTATTCACTAAATATTGAATTTTAAGGAGGATGAGTATATAATGAATTTCTCTGCTACTGTGTTGAGCATAAACACATAAGGGATCCATCAATAAAGCTACATCAGTGCTCAGAACGGAAAGTTGATGGAAGGGGCTTATGAATGAGATCTATTTGGTTTGGATCCTAAAAGTAGATGCAATTTGAATGTAGGTAGTTCCTAACTACTATGTAAGTGGGAAATGGAAAAAATGAGCATTTATATCAGAGGGAATATCAGAGAGAGAGAGAGAGAGAAAGCATGAATAGGAAGCTCAAAAGAAACTAGTGAGAAAGACTCTTTTTAGGAAAAATAGGTTTGGTTCATCAGTGAAATACCAGATTAAAGAGTAACAGATATCGAAGATCTTGTGATTTCCTTGAGTTTTGAACTGTCTAAATTATTACATGCTACCAGCATTTAAAAATCTGTGTGTCTCCCTCTCAACAGATAAAATGTCCTCCCTTCCCCCACAGGTATCTCCTTGTAAGTGAAGGGGATAAACTCCTTCCACTATGAACCTTGGACTTGGTTGGTTCCTTTTGTGTCTGTTCCTCCACATTTTGTTTTGGGAGTTCCTCAAAAGACTTTTTCTGGATAAGAATGCTGGGTGTATTTTCCAGTTGTTTCTCCTAGTACGACCACATTTTCTCCTTGGATAATAAAAAAAACTTTGAGGATTTGGATATTTCCACTCTCATTTACAGATGTAATACTGCAATATATAAATGTATCAAAGTATCAGTATGTTTTAAATGGTCTAAAAGTGATTAGAAGTCTTAAAGCACAATCCTACTTGCTTCTCCCATTCAACTCATTTATACCAGTTCAGCTTTTTAAATTCCATATATAGAACTAGATCTTGGTGGGTTCCTGGAAATATAATTGAGAATATTCTTCAGCATGCCAGTGGTTCAAAATAGCATTACCTGGATAAACTAACATGAATTTGACAAGCTGAGAATAATGGGAAAGATCTTCTTAGCAAGAACCTGACCCATTTCTTTCTTACTTCCCTCCCTCTTGTCTTTATTCCTTTTGCTCATTTTCTTCTTCCTTTCCTCCCATCCAGCTACCCATCAATTATCTATCATTTTTAAGTATTTATGCAAGTAATGTGGTAACACAGTATGCATAATAATTTTAGAGCTTTTTTTTTTTTTTTAAAAAAAGTCATGAATCTCAGGATGAGGGAAAATAGGAACCTACATTTTGGAACCAGCTTGTAAACACTTTAATCTAACACAGGTATTTCAGGGTTTGCATTTTTCAAACTCACTGAAATAAAGAGAAGGAATAGCAATTTTTGAAGTGAAATTCATGAGTGTAGTTATCTAGTATTTGTTTCATATGGACTCATAAATGGAAAAGGCATAATACCTAAAGGATAAAGTATTTATACTTAGAGAAGATTATATTCCTAGGCATGTCCTGTTCCTGTCAGTATTTTATTCCATCTGAATTTGTATAGAAGCAGGCCATAAAAAGAAAGGTAAAGTTACCCTTCTTCTTCCCCCATCCTGGTGAACATCTAGCCCTTCAAGAAAACTACCATTTTAATCATAAGCAAAGGTCACCTATTAGATTTATTTTTAGAGTACTTGATACAGATATCGATAATCTTGTGATTTTCTTGAATTTTGAATTGTCTAAATTATTACATGCTACCAGCATTTAAAAATCTGTGTGTCTCCCTCTCAAGGACAAATTGTTGAAGTATCACAGACTTTATATGACTGGAAAAATAACCATCCCTGACAAGAATCTCTATGAGTGGTTCTCTAGTTATATGTTAATTTATGTGAATCAGCAAAATGCATTTACAAAAGATAGTTTATCTGATCCCATCCCAGACTTGCTAGATTAAAACCTTTTGTGAGCATCACTTCTAAAGCCCTTGTGCTCCAAAGGAAGGAGACTATTTGTAGTGCTTGTATAGACATCTGCTTCCCCTAGAAGGTGGAAAGCTACTTAGAAAGCAGAGTACATATTCAAATGGTTTTTCTCTCCCTTTCTGCTTCCTACTGTATCAAGCCTTTGCACATTGTTGGAACTCACTCAATCTTTGTTAAATACTTTTAAAGAACTTTTTGTGCAGATGCTAAAAATCAAGGGTTTTTTTTGATGCTCTGATTTGAAACTTTTTATTATTGTTGTTAAATTGTCTCCTAGGATGGAAAGAAGAAATTTGACAAGGAGAGTGAAAAATACTATTCTATTCTTGACAAGCATTTAAATTTATCTGCAAAGAAAAAGGAGTCTCATTTGCAGGAGGTAAGTTTTTCAATTGAAATGTGGAAGGGACATTAGCATTAAGTCGTATGAAATAAACATTTCCAGAATCTGCTGCTGTTTAATAAAATAATGATCATAGCATTAACTGATTTATTTGAGCTCTTATTATGGACAATCTCTGTACTTAGGGTTTTTATACACATTATAATGTTTAATACTATCAATTCTAAGTGAAGGATTAATATTTCCTTCAGTTATAAAAAAGAATGGAACAAAAACTTTAGCAAGATTTTTTTTTTTAATGTCAGGCACATTTCAAATGACAAAAACCTATCAAATTTATGTTACTGCCTTTATATTATTTTCAATTAGAACAAAAAATATATATGTGAAATTGTTTGTAAGCCACTAGGAACAAAAGATTACGCATTTTAAAATCTTAATTATTGTACATTAACTTTCTTTAAAAAAAATTGATCAGAAATATTTTCATAACATATTTACTTCTAAGCAGTCCATTTGTTCCCTTCTATCTAAAATATCCATTCTCCCCATTGCTTGTCTTATAACTATAGTATAATCACAAGTCATTCTTTTACTAAGGATTAATGTAGTTTCCACTAAGAAGCACTGGTGGCATGATTGCAGTGGTCATCGATCATTTCTGACCACCTGAGTGACTCAGTGATCTGTTTCCATGAAGGTTACCACCTAGGAAACCCTCTGGAGCAGTTCTACTCTGCCATTGGGGTCACTGTGATTCAGATTCAATTCCATGGCACATAATAACAACAATGCAGTTTTCTTTTGGGTGATGAAGAATACCAAAAAAAAATTTTTTTAAATTAGATGCTCTTGAAATTATAACTGTGTTGTTATTAAGTTCCTTCGAGTCGATTCCAACTCATAGTGACCCTGTATATGGTTTCTGAAGAGCGGCTGATGAATTTGAACCACTGATTTGCTGTTCAAACCAACCTTGCAGTCCAGTGCATTATCCCAGAGCACCACACCAGGACTCTCCCTTATTGTTATAGTTGTTGTTAAGTGCTGTAGAGTTGGGTACAACCCATAGTGACCCTGTATAGGGTTTCCAAGGAGCAGCTGGTGAGCTTGAACCACCGACCTTACAATACAAACTGACTTTGCAGTCCGGCACATTAGCCCACAGCACCGTTACTGTTATTAGAGACCATAAAGCCAATTCCAACTCATGGTGAACCCACGTGTGCAGAGTAGAACTGCTCTGTAGGATTTCAAGACTAACTTTTCTGAAGTACAATTCCAGGCTTGTCTTCCAAGGATTTTCTGCATGGGTTGGAACCAACAACCATTCAATAATAATAGGCCAGTACTTAACCATATGTACCACCCAGGAGTACCCATAATTCCTTTGGAAGAAAATCTTGAAAGAAACACATACATTCTCCCAACATACAGTGGGGTTATTCATAGCAACTATGAGTTTTGAGTTTATCAGCATTTTACCCTGTGGCTTATGATGGGTACCCAGACCTTCCTAGGGGATATGATACCATGCTGATACAATATTGAATCCCTTTGAGTCCCTTTTTCCATTCCTTCTATGTATCACAGTTATGAACCTCTTTCAAGTATTTCTTCCTGACCATTCTGTCAAAGATACCCCCCTTCCTGAACAACTTTTCAAATTCAACTTGGTCCTCCACTCTTCTTGTTCCATTTCTTGTTTCTCCTATTTCCAAGTTCAGTCACAAAGTGTGTTTGCTGAGTTAGAGTATTATAAGAATTGCACAGCATCAGAAGGGCATGGGACTATGATTTTTGCGTCTGATTTTTTTTTTTCCTATACTCTCATATTTTCACTGAAATAATTGAACTTCTTTGTTAATATTTAAACATTTAGAAATTTTTATATTGTGAAGTTTGATTTGTTATTTATAGCTTAATTCACTGTATCCCATGTCTTCTGTTATTAAAACATGCTATTAAAATAGGATGATTTAAAATAACAATTATGTACTTAACAGAAAACTTTTGTGGCTAAAGTGAAATGGAGAAAAATCTGTCAAGCATTACAACTGCTTGTTATAAATTAATATTTTATTCACATATTACAAATGTCTTATAGGATTATATTTCTGTTTAAACATTGCCCTGGACTAAATCTGAGAGTGGAGTGTATAGATGTATCCATGTTGAGAAAGAGTCCTCTAATTATCACAGGTATATCATCTGCTGTTTAAATGTTTTGACCTGGTGACATTTTAAACATTGATTGCCTCAAAGCAAAATGTGATGTTTATAGTCTCCCAAAAGTTATAGTGTTTTTCAGATTCTTAGTGAACATAAGAGACGGACCTCAGACAAAGCCCTCCTACTTAAACCATTTCAAGCAAATGACAACTTTATCTTAATTGTAAAATTTTCTAGAAGATATGTTTCAGTTTTCCATGACACCTTAATATTTTGTACTTTTCTTGTTAGTAACTTTAAATCCCTCAGGCTATGTATAGTATAATATTCACTCCAGTTCTATACTTAGTTGGAAACTGGGAAACCCATACTTAACATGGTTACTGAAATTTCTATTTCTCAAACATCTTCTACCAAGATCACCTCACACACTCTCACACAAAACGTACAGAGCTACACACTTCTTTTCCAGGGGGCACAACCTCTAACAACAGCAACAAAAACAACCACACAACATCATAACACAACAAATTCTATCAAGGAAACTCCCAAGAGTATATTATACAGTCAGTTGGCTTTTTTTTTTTTTTCCCCTCTCTGCCCATCCAGTAATCAGACATGCCATAGGGAAGTGCCACCACAAATTTAATCCTTTGACATGGTATTAAACGTCATCAGTTGTCTGGCAGAGCAGCTCTGGTGTTTTTCAGCATACAACTAATTAACTTGTCCTTAGAAGACCTCTCTGTGCCTTATCACCTATGACGCTCACTCCTAGTTCCTTTTGCTTCTGAAAAATAGTGACTGCCCATTTCTAAGACTGAATTGAAGGGTTAGCTTGTGTTAATAAAACTTTTAAGACTATTAATATCAATTGGACAAATCATTGAGGTAAATAAACAAACATGGAAACAGCCTTGTCAAGATTGTAGACAATACATTGCAGGAAAAGAAATAATGTTTCCTATTTAAAGTGTTGCTCTGGTAGCGTAGTGGTTACGAATCGGGCTGTGAACCTTAAGGTCAGCAGTTCAAAACTGCCAGGCGCTCCGCGGGAGAAAGATGAGGCTTTCTACTCCCGTAAAGATTTACACCCTCGGAAACCCTGTACAGGGTCGCTATGGGTCGGAACCGACTCGACGGCACTTAACAACAACAACAATTTAAAGTGTTGAAGAGCCAAGATGTCAATCTGAGGACTAAGTTGCACCTGACACAAGTTATGGTATTTTCAATAACCTCATATGCATGCGAAAGTTGGATAGTGAATAAGGAAAACCGTAGAAGAATTGATGCATTTGAGTTAATGGTGTTGGAGGAGAATATTGAAAGTACTATGGACTGCCAAAAGAACAAACAGATCTGTGTTGGAAGAAGTACAGTCAGAGTGCTCCTTGGAACCCAAGATGGCCAGACTTCATCTCTCATACTTCGGACATATTGTCAGGTGAGACCAGTCACTGGAGAAGGATATCATGTTTGGTAAAGTGAAGGATTGGAGAAGAAGCGCAAGACCCCCAATGAGATGGATTGGCACAGTGGCAGTATCAATGGGCTTAAACGTAGCAACTATTGTGAGGTTGATTCAGGACCAGGCAGTGTTTCGTTCTGTTGTGCATAGGGTCGCTATGAGTCAGTACTGACTCAGTAGCACCTAACAACAACAACAACATGTGGATCCTTTCCAAACATAAAATAAAAGGGAAAAATTATAAAGAACATGTAGAAAGACCTGAATGCATAGAAATAGACACTTTGTTTATTTTTAAAAGCTGTTAACCCAAATTACGAGGCAAAGTATTTGCGAATTTGTATAACATATGGGACAAGGCAGCATTTGGTTGTATTATACACAGGGTCACCATGTATTGAAACCAACTTGATGGTATCTAACAACAACAACACAAAATAGGGTTGTTGTGATTGCTGGTGAAGGGGGGTTGCTGTTGAGTCTTTTCGAACTCGTAGCAACCTTGTATAGGGTTTCTGAGGAGCGGCTGGTGAGTCTGAACTGCCAGCCTTGCACTTCAAACCCACTTTGTGACACCATACCATGTGCCATCAAGTCGATTCTGACTCATAACAACCCTATATTTGGCTTCTGAGACTGTAATCTTTATAGGAGTAGAAAGCCTCGCCTTTCCTCTGCAGAGTGTCCAGTACGTTTGAACTGCTGACTTTGTGGTTAGCCAGTCATTGTTTACCCCACAGCACTGTGCTATAGGGTTATTATTTCTTATATAAAATAAATCCATGTGATGGAGACAAAGACCTCGGTGGGTAAATGTGTTGAGGACATTATGGACAATTTATCAAAGAAGAAATACAAGCTATAGTTCTGTATTTTAAGTATGTGTTAAAAAATGGTGCTGGAGGTGTGCCATGGAGTCAGTCCTGACTCATAGAGACTCTGTATAGGGTCTCTGAAACTATAAATCTTCACAGAAGCAGAAAGCCTCATCTTTCTACCGTGGAGCAGCTGGTAGATTTAAACTGTTAACACCTTGTGGTTAGCAGATTGTAACCCACTACGCAACCAGCGGTCCTTCTGCGCTACTAGCGTTAAAAGTAATGAAACTGAAAATAGCAACAAGATGCTAGTTTTAATTTGCTATAATACTCATTGTTAATAAAAGTCTGGGGAGCTGGACATAATCTTTAACTCCTGAATGCTTCCATCATCCTTGAGGTACATTTGACTTCATACTTTCAGCAAACCTTAAATGTGAAAGACAGTGGAGATTATTACGCATGGTATAGGGGTTTACTCAAAAG